CTCAAAAGAGTGGTGTTAGAGCGTAGATAAACCTTTCCAACAAATACCCCCCTCGATAAATAATCGTGTATGGAAAACACGTGCCAAAATTGTTGATAGGGTCCAAAAGTACTTACGAGTGACCACGAGTGACCACGAGTGACCACGAGTGACCACGAGTGACCACGAATGACCACGAGTGACCACGAATGACCACGAGTGACCGCGGGTGAGATTACGTCAAAAAATGTCAGTGATGTTATCATGACGTCATTAAGAAGTCATTGTGAAGTCATTTCATCAAATAATGACCAGACCAGTGACCAAACTGAGGCTGTTACCAGTGTGGTAATCAAAGTTGAGAGCGCTGCCTGTGCGTTCACAATTCGATTTTTCTCCTTTACAGATATTGGCTGTTGACCTTCTGTTCTTTCATGCTTCACAATATGAAGCATGAAAGAACAGAAGGTCAACAGCCAATATCTGTAAAGGAGAAAAATCGAATTGTGAACGCACGCGATTGTAAGAAAATCCGAGCGATTTTATTAAACGAGGTGGGGCTCAAAACTTCACTCGCGGACTTTGCCTGTTTTGTTTGATTTTGATTTTCCACCCAGTTTTGTAGGTTACCAAAAGGCCGTATTTTCTGGCTAGAATGGTTTATCTGTTAGTTCGATGAAACAAAGCATGCAAAGCCCGCGCACAGCTTTGAGCGTCGCTTGATTTAGTTAAATTGGGCGAATTTTTCTCCACTTTCACAAATAAAAAAGCAGCCAATATTTGAAAAGGAAAAAAAATCGAATTGTAAAGTACGGCCACTGCTCTAATCTTTGATTTAGCCTCCGTTTGGTGGTAAGAAGTTCACTTCTAGTAACCCACGAATAGTGATTAGGCACTGTGCGGTAGCAGCACACCCTTTGCACTGCGCAACTATTCGCCAATTGAAAGATTAGTTTCTTGCATGTCAGAAAGTGGCCAGCAATGCAAAATTTAAATTAACTCCTTTTTTGTCCAAAATTTTTGACCGCTTTTAATATGTGCGTTTCGGAAACGCATATGATTAGACTTAACAGATAAAAATAGATGGCGACCTGGACCCCTGATAGTGAGACAAATTACGGTGCCAACGAAGTTGATCATGTCTTAACACATCTAATTCACTGTTACCTTTGGGAAAATGGTTAAAATGGAAAGAAAAAAAAGATTGCAATTTGTCGGCTTAACTGTTTTCGGAAGGTTAAGAAAAACGCTGCCGTCATAATTAATCAACTGATGACAAATTGCAACAAAGTAAGGTTGCTGCAATTAGTCAGCGTCTTTTCTGGAATCTTTTACTTCTGT